GATCAATTTCTGTGAGTTAATTTTTCAGGCAAAAATGACTGACAGCTGAAACATTTTATAAATGAGGCAAGGTTCTCAGGGTCAGGGTGATCTATTATATTTAAACTTGTTCTTTTCTCTGTTCCTTCTAGCGCAGCTTTTTTCTCTGAGTATAATTTGCTCTTTAATGAGAACAACGTGTGGAAATGATAGAACGCCACCACCATGTAGCACAACATTTTGAATGTTCCGTCAAGGCAGAAATGGAATGGAGGGTGAGAAGAAAAGAAAAAGTAACTAAATATGCTATCATCAAAGTTTTGTTGGCATATGAAGAAATAACAGTGGCAAATCTTACTGGTAGGCAGGGAAAAGTGCTATCATTCTTTCTACACATGTGAGAAGGGTAAATATTTAATGAAGATTTATTGAGAATATATCGTGTAAAAAAGTGTACTAAGTCCTATAAAAGTGGTTTCCTATGTTTGCTACCCCCAAAATATTCCTACTAATCAAATCAAGAAGACCTGTGAGTACCAAATCCTTTTCCACTTAGTAACCCCTTGCCACACCTTTAATGTTCTTGTCATTTCTTGTCACATCTGAACCCCAGTTGGGTTAACTTCAGACTGTAAGCTCGTTGAGGCTTGTCTTGTCAGGGGAGCATATACTAAAAAAATAAATATGATTTGAATGGATGAATCAGAGATTTCTGTACAGGGGTGGAAAGTCTGGTTATAACCTCTTCCCATTTTTCTTGTGGACCCAGAGTTGTAAATGGAGAGAGTAAGGCTAGCAGAGTAATCTCTGAGCGCACACAGGGCAGCAACCAGTGTTTCAATCTTAATGTGTTGTCTCGACAGCAAGAGCTCACTGGATGCCTAGGAAAGTTCATCTGCAGGAGACATCAGGAAATGCGGGAGCTCTGTTGACTCCATTTATCTGCCTAAGCTTTAAGGTCGGCTGAGGGACTAGAGGGAACGCCGGTACACACAGTTCGAGTTCAGAGCACGTGAAAACTGGCTCGAAGAAAGTCGGGTAACGTGGACATGAAAACTAGCGGGAAGGAACACGGTTGCATGATCCGTGCAGTGTTTGCGTTTTCATACTGAGCAACCTGCTCTCGGTGTATCGTTTTGATGTTTGGAAATGGGAAAAACCCCAGGAAAGTCATTTTTTTAGACTAGGCTCTTAAGCCCGCAGCCTGATTTCACCCGACAAAATCACGCCAGCGCTCAGCTCCGGGGCAGGGAAGGATTTCTCCAGAGACAAGTTGCGGGGGCGTGGTGGAGGGTGGAGGGGGGCCCGCCCACACAACATCGAATTCCTGCGAATAAGTCCCGCTGGAGAAAGGGAGGGCAAGGGGCTTGGCCCCGCCGGAGGGGCGGAGCTCCAGAGGAGCGCGGGGGCGTAAACAAGACGGAAGAAGGGGGCCCTGGCTCAGGGGCGTGGCCCGGTGAGAGGGGCGTGGCTGTGGCGGGAGGCGAGCCGCCAGGCCTTCAGCACAGATTGGGTACGGTCTGGTTGGTTTGGCTAGGGCAGCAATTTAGGGCGGGGAGGGGGAGGGACCAGGCTTATGGGCGTGGCCTAGAGGGGAGGTGCGTGGCCCGGGCCGCCGGACATGGCGAGGGGGCGTGGCTATGATGGCCAAGCTTGCTAGCCGCGATTCGGGACTAGAGCCAGCCGCAAGGTTCGTGCTGTTGCGAAAACGCTCAGGTAAGGGCAGGCGGCCGAGTGGAGTGGGGGCCGGCCGACTCCGGGAGGGCCGGGACCCTCCTTGCACACACCCGCCCTGCCGGTCTCGGAGGCGCGACAGCTATTTGCGAGTATTGCTGGGGTCCCGGCGGGGCGCCCCCGGGTCTGGGAGGCTGACAGGGCATCGCCCTTCCCCCGCTCCCGCAGCCCTCTTCTGTGGGAGTCACCAACCAGATGGCTGCATTTTATGGTTATTTGCACTTGACAGGAAAACAGCTGTCCCGGGGAATTTGTGGGGAGCGCGAGGGCTTTTCCTTAACAGAGGGTGTTGCCAGGGCTGGTTGGATGTGAATAACTCAAGAAAGTCTAACGTGCTGTGAAATAGCTGGAGACGGGTAAGGGCTACACATCTGAGATTGCAGTTCCAGAAGCCGAGGCGCCGCAAGCTGGGACTAACTTGGGTAGAGATTGTATTTCTTCCCTCCCTTGACTACACCAGGGTCTGGACGGAGCCTCAGCCACCTTGAAGGCAAGGGATCAGCATCACAGCTCTGTCTGGAGGCCAAATCTTAGCCTTATCCGTTCAGAGATTCCTTCTGGCCTTTTTGTTTTGTGCCCCGCCCCAGAATTGGAGAAGAACCTCCCAAATACAAACTTTGATGGCAGAGTCTTTGTGGCATTCAGTGTTAAATGCTACTGCCTTGAGGCTGGTGGCAACTCGTTGCTTTTCACGTAAGTGCCCTCCCCTCCCGTGTATTTTAACGGGGAAAGTTTGAGAGGTACACGAAGTTAATGTGTGCACCTCAATTTGGATAGAACTTGTTCTCTCCCAGCCACTGAAAACCACGTTGCTTTCTGCTTTCCCTGCTTCCTTTCCTGATCATCTGACCATCTTCACTCTGCTATTAAAAGCCTTGCTGGAATATTGAAAGGAGTAGCCCGATTTCTCTGGTGAGGGAAGCTGCCCCAGACCCTACCGGTGACGCGCCCCTGCACATCCATCAGAACTGCCAGTGTTTTCAGATATGGTGGAGAGGGCAAACCTTTCAGCTATCTAGGGCCTTCCTCTTACTCAGGTAATTTTACATCAGTACTAGGACTGAAATTCAGCGAAAGGCCAAGAGCAGCAAGGCCCGTTTTCTGTGCTGTACATACTTTCCTGGAGCCAGGCAAAAGGCTGTGAAGGCTCACGGTTGGAACGCAATAAAGATTGAGTGAATTGTGAGTGATTGAGTGAACATGAATATTGGGGAAATCTGATGGAAGGGAGATAATGCAGTTCATCTCGTGGACCGCTCTGGGGCAGTTAGTTGCAACACATGAAGCTGTTACTAGAAATGTATTTTGAAACCTTTGGCAACCCCAGATTAGGAACATACTCTCAGAGAAAAAAGTGGGTGAGAGGAAGAAGCTGAGCTTTCCCAGTCAAGACATGGAAACACAACTTCTGATTTAAATCCAGAGAGTTGCAAGATCCTGGCTTCTTTTCCATATCAGGAGGTGAGGAAATGAAGGGCCAATCTGATCAGAATCAAGGAAATTTTTTCAGTTTAATTCTAGTAATCTTTAATAGGTGACTTTTTTTCCTGTCTGTTTTGCATAAGTGTAAATGGCTCCATCGGGCTGAGTTCAAACTATTTGTCATTTAAAAAATACATGATTTATGAGTGATTTTTTTCAAGGCTTTCAGAATCTTTTTTCACACATTTCTAAGTATGCAAAACAGCGGATAAGGGACGAGTTGGTAAAATCCAGGGACATACAAAAATAGTGACAGCAAAGGCATATAGTATAGAAAACTTAGCCCAGCTGGGCACCATCCAGCCCATGTTCCTGTAAAAATTAAACAGAGCCACTTCAAAATGGAGTCAGAGCTGTCATTCCAAAGGAACTGCCTTGCATGTCTTACTCAAACCTGTCGACTGTTAAAACTGGGCAAATAACTTTTGGATTGGGCCTAAAGCAGCATTGTATCCCAAACTGCTTGCAAAGATGATAGGAAAATAAGACATGATTACCTGACTGAAAATGAAACACATTCTTTAGAACTAACATCACTATATTAGCTTATCTGCATCTGTAGAAATTCCTCCCTCAGCTTATTAACACCCATAGAAATGCCTTCTATTCATGTTCTTATTCCCCTTCCCTTTTTCATAAAAACCCCATGCCTTCACCTCCTAATCAGAACACTATTAGGATTTCTGCTTGAATCAGTGCTTCCTGAATAGCTATAATTCTGAATCACAAATAAATGCTTGTTGCCTCTCACTTTTTAGCCTTTTATATTAAGGTTAACAATCCCAGTATTAAGAATAGACTTAAGTAAGGACAGGTTCTCTGTGAAATCCAATAATGTATGATACTACTTCATCTTTATGTACTATGTTTGATAATTAAACATTATTTCTGCTTTTTGCAAGCTTCGGTTTTATGACATCCTAAGTTTAAATAACCACCTCTCAGTAAATTATAACATTTTAATGTAACAAGGGATTGGCTTTAGGCTTGAGTATAAATAACGTCATGGATTGTTACAGGAATTGTAGCCTGGCATTAGCTAAATTGAGTTTCCGTGTATTTGGATTTTCCTGGAACCCTCCTCGCCCTTGAACTTCCATGCTCCATTGCCTCCTCGAGTGCCTTCGCCTCTTCTCCATCTCTGGGCCTCCTAATCACTCCATTTTGTCGGTCGGCCTCTATACACCTGTTACTCCTGGCGGAGGGCTTTTCCTCTCTCGAGCCTCATGACCTCTCCTGCACCAGGGCTGCATTGCCCACTCCCCGCTAGACCTTTCCTCTCACCTGTGGCTTCCACCTCAAATCCAATAAGGAATTAGACAAAGGTGCCATCTTTCTCTTCCCCACCTGCTCTTTGTGCCGGGTTGCGTTTCTCTGCTCAGGGATTCATTCTCACTGTGCCACCAGCATCATCCAGCTGGGAAATCACGAGGCCTTCCTCAGCTTCTTCCCCTTTGTCCCCTCCAGGTGAGTGCAAACTCCACGTTTTGTTTTGTGTTATCCAAAATGGCGATCTCTGGAATGCAAGGTACCTTGTCCATCTCGACTGCCACTGCCCAGGACGGTGCTTCATTTCCTCCACTTGGATGATTGGACTTCCGGTCCAGATTCCAGCTGCCCAAATCTGAGCACTGATTTCCCGCCCAAAACCTGCCCCACACACTGTTGTCCTCGTGTTAGTTCCTGGCACTCCGTTCTTCCAGTTGCTTAGGCCAGGCCAGGAATCTCCCAGCCATCCTCCACTCTCTTCTTGCACATCTTACGGGCTGTATTTCCAAGCTATAGCCAACACCCGACACTTCTCACCACCCCCGCTGCGACACCCTTAGTTCCAGCCCCTGGATTATCCCAAATGGACTCCCTGCTTCTTTCCTGCCTCCCATCCTAGTCGATTTCCAGCAGGGGACCCTGAATGCTCTTTGAAAACTATAGGTCAGGTGTTGTCCCTCCTCGGCTCCAAAAACTCCACTGTGTCCCCATGTCTCTTCAAGCAATGGTTCCCAATCAGAGGTGATCCCCCTTCTCCAAAGGACGTGTCTGGAGACGTGTCTGGAGATGCTTTTGGTTGTCACTGTGGGAGGGAGGGCGCCCCTGGCATCTAGTGGCTAGAGCCCCGGGATGCTGCTAATCCTCCCATAGTGCCCAGGATGGCCCCTAAACCAAAGAGTTACCTGATCAGAAATGTCAACAATGCCAAGGGTGAGAAACCTGAGTTAGAGAAAGAACCTTTCCAGTGGCCTAAATCTACTTAACCTGGCATCCATTACCTCTCAGCCTCATCTCCCACTCCCCTCTTCCTTGTCCCCGCCACGCCTGCCATACTGGCCTCCATATTGTCCCTTTTATGTGCCACACACACTCTCACCTCAGGGGATGTGCACAGGCGGTTAATTCCCTCTGCCTGGAATACCCTTCCCCCTGATCACCATATAACAAATTCCTTTACCTCCTTCAGTTCTTTGCTCAAATTTCACCTCAATAAGACCTCCCCTGAGCAATGTATTTAAACACCCGACACCCCCTCCCCCGTGGCACTCCCAATTCATCGTCTGTTCTACTTTTCACTGAACAGATTTTGATTAAATTGTCTCTACAACTGAATTAGGTATTAAATTGTGGTTTGTTGTCTGTCTTCCCCTACTAGACTGTAAGTTCCACATGGGTAGAGACTTTGTGTTGTTTCCCAGTGAACCTAGAAATGTGTCTGGTGTTTCATAAATGCCCTGGAGGTCAGAGCCTGCCTGCGCCAGCTCAGCCTAGCCTCGGGCCTTTCCTGATGGCTCTGGAGCTGGATGCCAACGGGCCTCAGACCGTCACATGGCCCCTTGAGCAGGCCAGGAGCAAGCCTGCTCATCGGTAGGACTCCCTGAGTGGTCAGGCCTGCCGTTGGCCTTGTCTTATCACCACCTTCTCTTTGAAGGACAAAGCAGCACCTCCTTCCTGTTGAGTATACATTGTACTTGGCGTTGTGTTCCAGGAAATTACTAAGTCTCTTTTTTTATCTAGATTGTACGCAAGAAAGGACTCCTTTTCCATGTGTTTGCCCACCTCCCCCAACACTGAGAGTGATTACTGAGTAAACCCAAGGTTCTGCTTTTCCAACCTCTGTTGCCCTCTCTGGCCTTGGCTCCGAGGCACATCTGCCCCCGCACCCCCAAATGTCCTCATCAAGCTGACACGACCGCTGTCCATCTCTCTGCCTTTGCCCTCCTGTAAAAATTGTCTCCGATGACACATGGTTCCGATGTCAACAGCTCTTGAAACATGCAGCCTGTGCCTATGTTCTCATTAAATTAAGTCAGAGCTGTCATCACATCTTCTTTGATTAAGTATTTGTTTAATTATGCTAAGTGAAATAAAAAGCTCAGAGGAAAAACACACGTTTCCACTTACATGGAGTATGTAGAATAGGCAAATGCATAGAAACAGAAAGTGGAATCGAGGTTACTAGGGCTTGGGGGTCAGGAGGAATGGGAGTTATTGTTTAATGGGTAGACGATGTAGCGGATGATGAAAAAGTTTTGGGTATAGATAATGCCGATGGGTACACAGCATTGTGAATGTATTTAATGCCACTGAATGATATGCTTAAAACAAGTGAAAGTTATAAATATTTTGTATATTTTACCACAATAACAATGGTAACTAAAAAACAAATTATTTGTTTAAATAGCTTTTCCTTGTAGATCGCAAGCTTGTGGGAATGGGGAAACATGACTTCCATCTTTACCCAGCACAGTGCTTTGCATGAGGCAGTCGCTCATTATTGCTTCAAGTCAGCAATAGAAGTAAACGGAAAAGAACAGAATGAAGGCACATTTTTACATACCAGCTCCCTCCAAAGATGTATATATTACAAACACACCCATAAAACTACTCTGAACAAAAGTGATTTTAACTTGGTTGGAGACTTTCCAACACCGTTTGGCAGGGAAAACATGCCTTAGGTGTCACTGGCCTTGTGACCTCAGGTAGGGAGTCAGGCCTGCAGGTGAGGAGGCTCCGTGGGGTTCAGGAACTTCCTCCCGGTCCCCTTCATGTGATGATGGTCATCTCCAGTCCCTGAGGTCAGTGCCTTCATTGCAAAGTGACATGGACAACGGAGCACACGGCACTGGGCAGAAAGGCTGCCTCTTTGTGCCACCTCACTCACAATACTTGTCCGGGCACATGGCTTGTTAATAGCTAATTATAAAGAGTTCTGCCTGGAGCCCTCGTTTTTTTCTTTCAGGGTAGTAAGAGGAAGGAACTGCTTCTAGCTTTCACTGGACACACAGCAGGGCTAATTATCTTACCTTTTCCTCGGGTCTAGCCTTCTTCCCCCTAGCTCAGATCTAGTTCAGAACTTCACAGTTCCTGGTTCCTGAAATTCAGATCCGCAACTTGTCCATCACCAAGGAAGCCTACGCAGGTCATCAAGCAGCCATCATGTACCAGGCACTGTGTCCCTAAGAGACGTAGCTGTGACCAAGACGAATGCGGGCGTTATCACTGTGGGGCTTAGATGCTGGGGAGCTAGAGTCGTAAATTACATTCCTGACGAGGTATGTAATTAATCCAATGGCGATGAGCACTGTAACCAAGAAGAGGCCACTGGGTTCACCAGAAGAGGAAAGTGATGGTGGACGTGGTGATCATTAGAGGGTGGGTAGGAGTTCAGCAGGCCGAGAGTGGGCCAGGGAAGGAGGAACCTCTGTGCCATGGAGGGAGCGCAGGATGTGGGAGAGCTAACGCCCACGTGGCTGGTGTGCAGAGCGTGGACATGACGACAGCAGATGGGTCTGTTGTCCTAGGGTGACCAGTGAGTGTGAGGAACAAGAGTGGATAAACCACTGGCTCTGGTTTGGGCCTCCCCCTCCCCCACGGTGCGTACCCATCATCTGAATGTTGTCCTACTTAGAGGTTTCCACGTGATCGGCACTGCCTACAGTTAACAGCCTCTCCTCCTGTCCTGCCTCTAGGTTACTGGGACCCTGCCAGTCCTTTGGGAACTGATCAAGATTTCGAGCCAAAAAGGCGGTGATGAATAGCCTGAGGGTCATTCTTCAAGCCTCTCCGTGCACATGGCTGTGGAGAAGGTTCCAGATTCTGAGGTCCATGCCAGTGAGGCCCTGCAGCCTCTACACCTGCACTTACAAAACCCGGACCCGAGCCCGTGAGTACACGGCCACCTTAAAGAGCAGGAGGCGTGTTTCGTAAGAATGAGTGTGTTCAGGATTTGTAGGTAGGATGTCAGTGGCATTCCAGGGGGGATTATATGCCTTATGCTGTGAGAATTAACTACTTGTTTGTCTGTTTGTCCTCTACCATTAATGAGGATGTTCTTTGTCCCAGGTTCCTTGAGATATAATTGTAATGTAACGTTCTATAAGTCTAGGGTGTACAGAGTAACGACTTGATACGCGTATATATTGTAAAATGATTAGCACAGTAAGGTTTAGAAAGTCCTTTCCTGACCAGTTATCACACGTTAAAATGGGTTTACCATGCAGAAATAGCAGTAGGAAGATGTCCCAGTTCCAGTACTTTGGAACCTGTTCTTTATTGTTTCTTGTTAGCAGTCGTCTTTTCACTAAGGTTGATCCACAGACTGGGAACGGTTTCTGTGAATCTTAACGTTCTGGAAGTTGCATATTAGTGTTTGCAAGCAGCTCAGAAGAGTAGCTTCACACCCTGGCATCTTCTTTCCCGAGTCACAAATGGCAGTTCCTTCTCGCTGACCAGCTTGCCAAGCGTGTGTTCTGCTGTGGAAACAGCAGATCGAGTGAGGCAATAGATGGTTTTCCCTGAGCCGTCTTGCCTCATCCCCCTGCTGAAATACGAGTTACCGTCCCGGTGTCCCCGGGGCAGGGATTCTCCACTTGGGCACTGCTGACATGGGGTGGGTCGCTCTGTGTCGTGGGGCTGTCTGTGCACTGTAGGAGTTGGATGGCATCCCTACATGTCTCCAGATGTTCCTGAGTGTCCCCTGAGGGCCAAAATAAACCTGGTAGAGAACCCCGGGGTGCTAGGACAGGGTCATGTGTGTGTTGGTGGGGAGGTGATTAATGAAAAGGCTAAGTGTATTTTATTCATTTTCCACTTTCCACCATGAATTATCAGAGAGCTTTGAAATGTTGGCTTTCTTCAAAATCCTAGGTTTTTTAACCTTTCCTCCTCAGGCTTTGTGCTCTTTGACCCTATTTCGTAATGCCAGTCTAGCCTAGCCCCCTGCCTTGACACTGCTTCGTAAGTACGTTTTTATTGAGAGTGTATTTTGTTTCCTGTATCCCTGACTGTTATTAAAAGGAGCTGGACGGAGTCATAAGCCACTCTGGTTGCTGGGCGTGGCTTCCTCCCAGCCGGCCTACATCCTCCCGAGACTGGCTCATTCTCACCACTGGCACTTTGCGGTCTAGGGCTTCAAGTGGAAAACAATTGTCACATTGATCTGGTTACCAAAGTTTTACTTTTTAACAGACAGTTGAAAGTTAAGGGCTAAAATCCAATATGCTCATATCTTTGGGATCATTGCACTTGTTTTATGCTGACAAAACCCAAAAACTTAGTGGGGGCCTCCGTGGATGCATTTTCCAGGTGGGATGTTCTTGTTTGTAAGTTACTAAGAAAGACAGGTGAGTGACAGTCACCATTTGATTTTGTTTTGGGCACTTTACACCATCCATCCCTGTTGTCACCCAGGAGACTATTCCGCTCTCTGCTGCCCGGTCACTGAGCACGTCTTGTTCTGATACTGTGGTATGAAGTCAATACTCATTGTTTCTGGAAGCTCAGGAGCCCAGAAGGCCGAGTGTTTACTTGTGACCAAGAATGACCCAAGAGTGTTGAGGGCTAGGAAAGGTAACTGGCAAGTCCTTCGCTGCGCCTGCCACCCAGTGAGGACTCCCTGTTGGCAGCTGCCCTGGTACTGAAATTGTTGTCACCACCAATCTACCAGGCTCAGGGCCTCCCTCCTGTGTCTCTGTCTGATCATTTTTAGGATTGGGTGAAGCAGAGTAAGTTGTAAATGAAGGCGGGGGATATGGCACATTCAGGAAGCAGCATTTCACTGAGCTTGTGGTCCCTGATTTACCGTCGCTCCCCAACCTCCCCTAGGTAATCACTGGCTGTCAACTCAATCTCAAGTAGCAGACAGTAAATACTGACATTCCTAACTGTAGGGACAGGTAAGATGATCCAATAAAGATAAAAGCCTTGCACCTATTACCCAAGATGAAAATAAAATCAGTTTCACTTAGTGTATCATCTAGTTAAATTTAGCTTAATTGTCACATAAAAAAATTTAGGCATGAGATCTTAGACCATGAGAACATACATTGAATAATGTTAATTTTTTTTTTAAATCTGAGCCATCCTGCCACCTGTTGGCAGCTCAGCGGCTGCTCAGCTCGGGCCAGGAATCAAACCGCTGTTGCTCAGAGCTCAAACTGTTGAGCGAGCTCTTAACCAACTGAGCCACTCGGCCGGCTCTGAATAATGTTAATTATTAATTTCATGAAGTACAAAGACTATCATCTACAATGGAAATGGTACAGATTTGTTACTATTTCAATAGTTCTCCATGTCACGATCTCCTTACTTTTAGAAGGAAGAGAAACACTGCTTTTTAGAAACTAGAATGGCAGTGTATAAAATGTAGCCACTAGCCCCAGGTGTGTATTTACATGTAAATATAAATTTATTAACATTTGATGGCCGCATGCAGCTAGTCCTTGCATGTTGGAAATGTGCATCGTCAGGGAACATTGTTTGACAGGACTGGTCTACTTTATAACTGAACTGAGTTAGAAAGTCCTTCTGTTGCTTCTCCCATTAGTTGCGAAGAACACAAATAAAGCCTGCAGAATAAGTCCTCACTTAATGTAGTCGACAGGTTCTTGGAAACTGGAAGTAAACAGTTCTACCATAGGCTAACTGATAGAAACAAGAGTTAGGTTCCCATGGTATCTCTGTGTATCAATGAGCCTGTGGTAAAATTGGTTTCCTTGGGTCGTTTTGCTTAAAGTCACAGTTTCTAAGAACCTATCTACTATGCTAATTGTGGACTTGCTGTATTGAAAAGCTTGTTGCAATGTCTTCTTCACAGAGAATTCTGGGAATCCCCAGACCATAGCTCAGGACACCCAGACTGTCTTGTCTTTCATTAACTTTCAAATGGTCCTGAGAAACAGCTGACTGGTGAAGAGCCCCTTGGGGCCATGTCAAGGGCCTCAGGGGTATCTGTAGGCACCAGGCACTAACATAGCACTGAGCTGACCACCAGGAAATGGGGGCTTTGTCTCCTGTGCTGATGACCGCACGTGTGTGCTGTGGTTACCTGGGCTCAGCACCAAAGCACCTTTTTCATTCCTGATGCTTTAAGGAGGCAATTTGGGACTCTGTGTTCATTCTCCACAAAGTCACATGGAGGTTCCCTGTGTGTCCATGCAGTCACTGCACTCTACTAGGATCGTCTTCAATTAGATAAGGAAATAGCACATCTCAACATAAAGGACAGTCCAGGGCAAGGCTCAGGAGGAGAAGCGAATGAGTGCATCAAGTAGCTGTCCAGCAGATAAATGATGCGAGCCATAAAAGCGAGCCATGCAAGCAATTCTATATTTTCTAATAACCACATTTTAAAACGAACAAATAATATGTCAATTACGTCTCAATAAAAGTGAGGGGAAAAAGTCATTTTTGTTCATTTGTGAAATTCTAATATAGCAGATATATACAGGTGAAATATATAGGTGAAATTAATTTTTCTAATATATTTTATTTAACCCAATATATCCAAAATATTATCCCTTTAAAATGAGATATTTATATTTTATGTAAAATACTATAAATGAAATATTTTACATTCTTTGTTTTATACTAAATCTTTCAGGGTCCCTAGGTGCTTTACATTTACAGTACATCTCAGTTTAAACTAGTCGTACTGGGGGAGTGGGACCATGTGAGACAGTGCCGGTACCCAGAGTATTTTCCTAGGGGTGACAGCAAATGAAGGGATACTTAGTGTAATGTGGGGTTGTCAGGGAGTGGGCTTGAGGTGACCTTGAGTGCCTGGTAAGGTTTTAAACAATGAGCAACAGGCAGACGTGATCATGTGAACGCAGGAAGTGCTCTGTGGTAACCTGCTTGCCTGGTTGGAGAGACCATGGGTGTGAGGTAAGAGGAGAGAGCCTTGGTGTCAACTTATTTGGTTTTTTTTTATCGGTAAAATAAGCATTAAGTGCCTCATTTGTGCATGGTACCAAGTTCATCCCTGGACCTGTGGAAAAAGTATAGGACTCAGGTCCTAAGGATTTGGAGATGACACAGGCCCTTTGAGCAGATAAAGCAAATACATATTGCATGAGGCACAAGGCATGCTTGTGTGCTAAATGGTGTGAGAGTGAATGCAGTGTGACTTCAGCAGAAGGAAAGGTCAGAGTGGTTGGAGAGAATGTCAAGACGAGTTTGGGAAGATGGAGCAGAAGCAACCAAGAGGTGTGGCATGAAGTCTGAGCTGTAGAGTCCTGAATTAGGCTGGTAGTCGTGGGCAGGGCAAGGAAAAGAGAAACCCGAAAAATTAATGTGGTCAGTAGTGTAACATGAAATGAAGATAAAAGGAGAATGAAACCTTCCCAGTCATGCTGTTTATCATATTCATTCAATCCACAACTGATGAAAGCCAGCTCAGTTCTGGGTTGCAGAGCAGTGGAGGCGGCAGATAATGACACATATATGTGTAGGGGAGGACAAATAATTTTCCCTCTACCCTCTGAGTTCTTGACTGAGCCTCCCCTATAATAAAACACAGATTAACCAAAGGAAAACACACATAAGTTTAATAACATGTATCCCTCCTGTATGTATACATGGCAGAGACCCAGGAAAACTGAGTAATACCCTGAGATGGCCCAAGCCTCCACCTTGCCCAGACTGAACACTCTCAGGCAGTCCTTACAAACTCTGGGTATTTATAGCCTAAATGTCCCCTTGCCATGGTTGTTTCTTCATGTGCTCTTACCGATAAGCTGTCGCTGTGGCCCTCAGCAGCTGAGCTACTGGGTGCTTGCCAATGAGAACAAATGAGATGACATCCTGACCGTTTACATCACTCTTATATCAAAACAACTTTACTTATAAAAACAGCTTCATTCTTAGATCAAAACAACTTCACTCTTCAAAACAACTTCAGGTTTTCATTGTAAACAAGTAGATGTTAAATCATGTCAAACTGATATACAACAAGTATGAATTCTCAAGTTCCCAGCCACAAGGCTGAGTATCGCAGAGAGAAAGATGTGAAGACACTTTGTGCCATGCATCTCCAAAACTGAATCAGGGCTGTTCTAGGGCTTTCAAGAAGTTTAAAAATATCACACAAATATAGCTTTTTATCCCAACAATAGTAGTTGGATAATCAGTATTAAAATTAAAGGACAAATATCAAATAAGGCACTACAGGACAACAAAATAAGGAGGAAGATATGGCTTCCGCCTGGAAGGAATTTGCACTCTAACTCAATTATAATATGACTGTATTATACCAATTCATATACATTTTCCATTTTAGATTTCTGAAACAGAAAGTGCGTGTTCTTCTCTAAAGTACGTTCCTGTTCTTCACAAGTTCATTTATACTGAGAGAGAAAATCCAAAACATTTTTCAGACCTCTCTAGGGATGAGAGTGCTGTGTTATATGAAAAAATAGAAGAAATAAAGAATACTTTGAGTTGCCTTTGCTTTTAGCTCTAGACCAAGATTTCTCCACTTTGGCATTGCTGACACCTGGGGCCAGACAATTCTGTGCATTGTGGGATGTTTAGCTGCATCCCTGGCCTTCACCCACTAGGTGGATGTCAGTAGCACCCTCCTCCAGTTGTGACCACCAAAAAATGTCCCTGGAAATCGGCAAGTGCCCTCTGGGAGCAGGATCGCTCCATCTGTTGACAACCACTGGCCTAGAAACTACCTGGAGAGCTTTATGTCTATACTGCTAGAACCCTTTTGCCCAAAAAAACAAGGTTAAGATCTTGCACTTCCAGCTTTGGGCAGCTACCTTAGAAAACCCCTCTGTAAGAGTAAACCAAAGGCAAGTTTGTGTTATTTTTAATTTATTTATTATTTTAATGAAAAGAGGAGTGTCAGTGACCCTGCCGTGCCCGGGGAGGTTTGACTGGATAGTAGCTACCTTGTCACTTTCTCAAATCCTTAGACTCATTCTTGGGTGGGAAGGTCGAGGTGCAGAGGGTTGTTAGTAATGATTCCTCTTGATTCATATTTCTTCTAGTTTTCCAGTAGGTCTTGGTTCTACCCACCCATAGTGCTTCTAAAGGGCAGAAAACTGGACCACCCCAAATTATACACATGAGTTCAACCCATCACGCATGGGTGTTTCAACAGGTCTATCTGTGTTTTCGGGAAGTCTGCTGAGATTTACCAGGGACTTGCCACAAAAACCTGGTGCTTGAATCTTTAGTAGAAAAATGAGCGTCACTGATGTCATCAGTGCCCATGTGGGACACATTGTGTATGTACACCTTAATATGCAACGTCCGCAGCTATTCCTGTTACAGAACCCTAGGGATCTTAGCAATGCTAATATTCTGCCCAGGTTTTGCAGAATGGCTGCCTCTCCTCAAAGCTTGCTTACAGAAGAGGTGAACTCAGCATATTCACTTATATGGGACCATATAATTCCTCCAGTGGGATTCATCTTTCTCTGGTTCTCTTTGCTCGTACTTCTCTGCTGTGATTCAAGAAGTGTTTGAGTCTGTCCTTAAGGGCTTAAGTGTCTCTCTGTCCCCTGTTTTTCTCTTTCTTCATGGTATGACAGTGTAAGGGAGGAAAAATAGCTTTTCCTCAACCCTTCTAGGTTCTTGGCTAAGATTCCTCTGTAATAATAGACAGATTAACAGGAGAAAAACAAACAGAAATTTAGTAATAAGTACACCTCCTGTATACATGGGACAGACCTAGGAAAACTGAGTAATTCCCCCAAATGGCAGAAGCCACCACCTGAAATACCATCTCCAGATAAGGGGGGAGGGGGGGTCAGGCTGTTATGCAGATTTAAGTCCTAGCCTTCTCCAGTGATGAGAGTTTCTAGACATTTAGTCATCCTCCTCTTCCTGGTACAGAGAGGGAGAACCCTTACAAATGGAGATTTCCCTTATAAATGTAAATTTCTCTTACAAAAGGGTAGCTTCGACTCAGTTTTCAGAGCTTCTCCTGTGTCTGCTGTTTCTTAAAACTAGCGTAAAATAATCCTTATGCTGAAGAGACTTGGGGTGGCCCACCCTGCTCCCCATCAACAGGGCCCCCAAACCCTGAACGTCTTATACTCCTATATCTAAAACTAACAAGAAATTACTCTTTTTCCTCCCAGATTCATCAGTATCTTTCTTTATTTTTCCAAAACCCGAGGGTGTGCCTCCATCTCAGCTGGAAGCCTATAATAATTGTGTGTAAGGAATACAGAAATCTTCAAAGCAGCAAGCTAAATGATAGGATGCATGTTATGCAAGACTTTATTTCTACTAGCCAACCAATTAAAACCTTTGTTTGGCTGAACATTTGCTTTCCAAAAAATCTTCTTCCTCTTCCCCCATTTCCTTTGTTGAAAATAAGTCCATTATTGAAAATGTCGTTAATTTGTCTCTGTGTTTAAAATGAGCTTGGCAGGTGGAGCCCAGGAAATTATCAATAAAGAAACGACTCATTTGGGCCGGCCTAGTGGCGCCTTGGTTAAGAACTGGCTTGGGATGCCAGAGGGCCCCGGTTCGGATCCCACAGATGAGGGCCAGTGACACTGCCCTCTACAGCTAAGATGCTGAACAACAGCTCGACCTGGAGCTGGGCTGCTGTGAGTTGCCG